TTATCACCTGGTTACTAACAACCGGTATCCCATTTTCCAGGATTTTTTGTAACCTCTCAGTATCAAAGTTAGTTAATGCAACAGTCTTGATCTTACCTGCATGCCAATCACTGAAGTCTGAAGTAAACTGGTCTAATCAAGAAATTCGGATTACCTATGGATAGGTGTAAAGACAACTGAATGCAAACAAACCTTCTTCTTTCAAATCTGTAAGGTGTTTAAGCGCATCTAGGTAGCCAGAATTAGAATAGTCCCACCTAAGTAAAGCAGACCCGAAGAAAAAGTCATTATCAATTGTGCTGTTCAAAAATTCAGTGGAATGGTTGAAATAAGACAAATGTAGAGAGGAATGATATCTCAAAACATAAAACACCAAGCTCGTGCTTTATAGTTTATGAAGGTTCTGTTAATTGATATACACATTTGAGTTTAAACATAGTCAAAGTTCATTGAGGACAACACAAGAAACTGAAAAATGACATTGTATACCAGTGAAACTGAAGCATGTCCAAAGATGCAACATCCATCCTCTTCCTTGAGACATTTATGCTCTCCCGAACAAAGTTACTAGTCATCTTGACGGGTGGTGGCACCCATTTGGTAAGACTGCATGCATATAGAGAAAATAAATATAAATCTAGACTACACAACTCAAATGCATCTTATTACAGGGAGATTTCATTATCTTTCACAACTCCACCAGATAGTCCCCTCATTTTTTATTGAGGTAACTGCACTCGATCTATTTAAAGTGATTCTAACTTCACTTGCCCCCCCGTACAGGAGAAGCACTCTAGCTCTCACTTGAAGTAGAGGAGTGAGAACTGCTCAGCACACACTAGATAGACATCATTTCTCAAAGCTATTGCAAACAATCGAAAATTAACAAAACCAAAACAAGATAAACACTAATATCAGCACTCACCCCCTGACATTTTCCAGATACTCCGGTGGGCGCTCTCGGCGTACTCTATTAATGAATATACCATAAAGATCTTCTGCAGGTCCATCTGCAGAATATGCACAAGTAAATCGCAGGACTACTAATCACATGCATTAAATACTAATGCCCTGAATAAACAGTAGTACATCCCTTTTTGCATCTTATGTGTTAACTCGAGGCGCATCAAGATTCTATACACTCATAATCAAGAAATCCAGAACTAGCAGAAATCCTAAAGGACTTAAATCAATAACTTCTCAAAACTATGCTGTAATGAGAATATGTTTTCCACGGAAGCATAAATGAAATGAGTAATACTAGTCAATTCTAAATGTTATCACGTGCTTTACATATATCAGCTAAATCGAAAGTGTTTAATCCAGCGTCCGCATATTGAAGCATGGCATCGATTGCACAGTCTCTATCAATTCTGCCCCATCCACCACTAGTCTGCCACATCCCATTAACCAATCTGCAAATGTCCAATGAATCTTTCCCATTCTTGACTTCCACTCTTTTCTTATCCTCTAACACACACTGAAATGGCCTTGCAAATGATTTTCTTGATTCATTTACTCTATTAAATTTTGGGTTTATCTTTATAGAGTTGAAAGTGAAGTGGCTAAACGATAGGTTTAATATTTGTGCCATTGAGAGAGTTATAACCAAAGGGTAGTTAGTAAGTAGTTCTGCACTGGTGGAAATGGTTTTATCCTATCTGTTCTTATTTGTCAGCCCTGTATTCTCCTCAATCATTCTTTATTTTAAATGACATTTTTGCCCCAATATATAAAGTAATTTTCTTTCCACTTAGTTGGGCTTTAGAAGGTGCATGAAAAAAATCAATATTTTTGGCTTTTAAGCAGGACCAGACACTTCATAACAAAAAACAAAACAAAACAAAACAAAACAAAACAAATAAATCAAAAGTTTAGGTGGAAGAGGGGCATAGGGGTAAAATTCCATACAATGGTCAGCCATGTCGAAGGTGGAGAGACCAGCGTCAGAGTATTTGAACATAGATTCGACGGCGTCGTCTCGGTCGATTCTGCCCCATCCACCACTTGTCTGCCACATCCCATTAAGCACTCTGCAAATTTCAAGTGAATCATTTCCATTCTTCACTACCACCGTCTTCTTTTCCGCCACCCCAACACCCACCTCGCAGCACCGCACCACGCGGTGGCCAACTCTCCTCGGTCGCCCAAACCCACCACCGGGCTTGGTAGAAGGGTAAAAATTGGACATGGAACGGTGCACAGACGTTGTGCCAGCTGCCATTTCGACGGCGCCTAGTTTTGCCTTAAATTTGGCAGTTGGGTCTGATTGATGAATGGAGAGGCCACTAGAAAGCCAAATTCCACTAGAAATGGAAAAGAAAATGAAAAAAATTGTTTTTTTAAGATAAGATTTGCTTCCTTGGCTCTCTCTCTCTCTCTTTCTTTTCTTTTCTTTTTTTTTTTTTTTTTGCCCCATTTTGGCCTTTATTTATTTTAGGGAAAATTGTAATCACGGTACCAAACATTTCATTTTGTGACAGACTTGATCCAAACTTATCATTTGTACCATCTACAATATGAAACTTTTCAAAAATTAGCATCTGAAGTTCAATATGATGAAATCCGTTAGTTGACCAAAAATCAATAATTAACCCAAATTTTGACTAATTTTTAAATGGTAAAAGTATTCGTTTACATTTTTTTATATAAAAGAATTAGAATAACTAAATAAAAATAAAAATAAATTATCATCTTCCACCCAACCCATCCCATCCCATCCCATCCCATCCACACACAAGTCCAAACACAAAACCTACCCATCCATCGTCGGGGCAATTGCCGTGACCATGCTAACACTCCACACAAACACAGGCGACACATCGAAGCATTGTTGGCGAGTCCACCTCTCTAAACTCTTCGATGGCATTGTCGTATACCATCACCAATCCATCATTTGATCCTCTCTTGCTCCGCCCACTTTTTCTTAATAAATCATCTATGCATAGGGATGGCAACGGGGCGGGTCGAGGTTGGGGCAACCTCCCTGGCCCACCGGGTAATTTCTTGTCTCATAACTAGCCCGTTACCCGTTTAAGGAGGAGCGTGTCGGGTTAGGTCGGGTCAAGGCAGAACCCTTGTCCCCGTTTACTCTTCGTTTTTTTTATAATTCATTTTATTACCCTCATTCATTAAAGTGAGATAATAATATATTTTTTAATTCTTTTGATATTTTTAAAAATTAAATTATTCAAATATATTTGGTAAACTAAGACTTTTATCGTTTGTTATATTTTTTAGATAATCTNTTTATTTTAGGGAAAATTGTAATCAAGGTACCAAACATTTCATTTTGTGACAGACTTATCCAAACTTATCATTTGTACCATCTACAATATCAAACCTTTCAAAAATTAGCATCTTAAGTTCAATATGACGAAATCCGTTAGTTGACGAAAAATCAATAGTTAACCCAAATTTTGACTAATTTTTAAATGGTAAAAGTATTCGTTTACATTTTTTATATAAAAGAATTAGAATAACTAAATAAAAATAAAAATAAATTATCATCTTCCCCCATCCCATCCCATCTCATCCCATCCCATCCACACACAAATCCAAATTCAGAACCTACCCATCCATTGTCGAGGCAATTGCCGTGACCATGCTAACACTCCACACAAACACAGGCAACACATCGAAGCATTGTTGGCGAGTCCACCTCTCTACTTAACTCTTCGATGGCATTGTCGTATACCAGCACCAATCCTTTGATCCTCTCTCGCTCCGCCCACTTTTTCTTAATAAATCATCTATGCATAGGGATGGCAACGGGACGGGTCGAGGTTGGAGCAACCTCCCTGCCCCACCGAGTAATTTCTCGTCTCATACCTAGCCCATTACTCGTTTAAGGAGGAGCGTGTCGAGTTGGATCGGGTCGGGCCGGGTCGGGTCGGGTTGAGGCAAACCCTTGTCCCGTTTACTATTCGTTTATTTTTATTTTTTTTAGCTTTTGATAATTCATTTTATTACACTCATTCATTAAAGTGAGATAATAATATATTTTTTAATTCTTTTGCTTATTTTTAAAAATTAAATTATTCAAATATATTTGGTAAACTAAAACTTTTATCGTTTGTTATATTTCTTAGATAATCTTAGCTGCCATTTTCTATTAGAATTAGTGAAATTTTGTGGAGTTTTCCATTTAAAGTATTAAATTCTAAAAAAATAAATTGAGCGGGGCGGGGCGGGGCAGGGCAGGGCGGGAGCGAAATTACCCGCCTTGTCCACGATCCGAACACCCGATTTAGCGGGTAATCCCGCCCCATTCAGGGTAGGGCCCGCGGGCATCGGGTTTGCCAGATTCTTTTATGGAGCACTTACAAAAATACCCTTAAAATTAGGATTGTTTTGAAAAATCATATGAAATGTTTTTAGAAAGTAAAAATACCGTGTAAAATGAAAAAGTGAAACAAAGTCACATTTATTATAAAAATTGTCACTTTTTACCTTTTTAAAAAAAGTGACAAAAACTCAAAAAGTGACAAAACTCAAAATAGCACCATTCATTTGTGCAGTACTAGTAATCATGTTTTTAAAATAATCAACAAGTCAAGACCAATCCACGTGCTGATTATGTTAGGAAAATATAATATAATATTTCATTTTTTATCTCGTTAAAAAGTGACAAAAACTTAAAAGGTGACAAAAAACTAAAAAGTGACACAATGTCACTTTTATAAAATTGACGAGCAACTTTGACATATCTATATGGTAATGCATAAAATTAAGTAAGAGACAATGTGACACAATATCACTCTTATTAAAAATGATTTTGTTAGTAAAAAAAAAGAGACCAAAAAAA